TTTACTATGCTCTACCTGTAACATGTCTCTACTGTACAACACATGCTCTCATAGGAATGTATTACTTTTATGCCTCAATAAAAATAAAAAATAAATTAAATTGCAAAAAAAAAAAAGAAAAGTAACTGGATCGCTGATGCCTATATTTTCAGTGTAAAAATATGCAAACAGACATTTTTCGGCTCCCGATTAGACTAAAAACCATTAAATAGCTTATCCGTAGCTGAAAAATGGTCTCTGATAAATGTGATCAGCTAAAATTAAATTGAGGCCTTAGCAGCAGGGGAAGTTTACTACATAATATAACCTATAATAAATCACATTTACTACATAATATAAAAGTTAATTCGGACCTACGGATAGGTTATTTTGGAGTAACTAGTTTAGGATATAAAGGTTTTTTTATTCTTTATTTGTAGTTTTATGTTTAGCAATGTAATACAAAAGAACAAAATTACATTTTGCGGACAGAATCATTTCAAAATAGGAAAAACAAGTACAAAACGATTGGTGAAATATAATCGCAGTGTGATTTTCTTGTCTGTGGTTACCAGGAATATGAAGGGTTTTATAAAAAAACTAAACAAAAAAAACAACTAATTTTATAGCATAGACACAGTGTTAAAGCCAATCCCCATATCACAGTATGGTACAAACAATACAAATGTATTACTACTATTTTATGCATTCAATAATAAAAGGTTTGCTGAGTAAGCAGTATGGATAAATAAAAAAGATCAGGCCATAGAGTGCACTTAGAAAAAAAAACCTGTCATTTGTTACATTTACACTATTTAATGTTGAATAATACAAAAAAGGGTTAAGCTGGGAAGGATCAATGAAAGATTTAGAAAACAGCAGATTTTAATGAAGGTATAGTGCAGGTCACGTGGAGGTATCTCGGCATACAGTTGAACAGAGAGTTCAATGTACTGCTTAATTGTTAGCATTTGCTTTTTTGTTATTTACAAGCAAAAAAGAAGGAAAGAGAAATCTGAGAACAGACAAAAGCTTAAAGTAAACTCAGTAGCTTGCCCTTCCGTACATCCCTGCTCAGGTCTCAAAATAGTTTTTGCTCACTTGTGCCATTACAGAGATAACATATCTGAAGCATATAAGCCTGATCCCACCCATACGGGTGGTCCAGATTTGAAATGCCAGCAAGTTCCCTCTGCACGAGAGATACAACAACCCCAGACGCTCATTTTGGCCTTCTTTTGGGCCTCGTCAGTGAGGTGTAGCAGATATCCCTCTAGGAACAGTGAGCACGGGGTCCACGTATGGATTACCCTTTTAACTTGGGGTGAGCCAAGTTAATACATTAAAGCACAAAAGAAAGAATGAGAAATACCCCTGAAATACCTGACAATGTACATGTGGGGTATTGTTGTACTCAAGCACAATAGGACACAAAAACAGGTCTTTAACCCCTTCAGGACGGGTGACGGACGAGGTCCTTCACAGAGGGGAGACCCTTAACGACGGGTGACGGACCTCGTCCGTCACGCGGTAAAATTAACCCCGGATCGCCGCTATTGCGGCGATCGCGGGGTTAATGGTGCTCCCGGTATGCCTCTGCATTGGAGGCATACCGGGAGCACCCGGTCAAGCTGCCCAGCACATGTGCTCGCTCTGACCGCAAGTCTGAGCGAGCACATGTGCTCTGTATACTCACCTACCGGCTCCCTGCACTTCCGGGTTCTGTGTGAAGTGCAGGGAGCCGGATCAGTGATGATCCTGCCCCCTGCTGGAAAAAAATAAAATAAAGTTAATTTAAAGTGTTTTAATAAAAAATTAACCCCTTCCCTGCCAATTGATCACTGACTACAGTGATCAATTGGCAGGGATTACATTTTACTATGATCTAATTTTTTTTTTTAACCCCTGAGGGTTAATTCTTTTTTTTTTTAACCCTCAGGGGTTAAATTAATTAAATTATTTTTAAATTATATATTTAGATAGCTGGGGTGGGTGGAAGTTAGTGGGGAATTGGGGGATTTGGCGTTAGGCTAACTAGGGGTTAACGTTAAAAAAAGTTTTAAAAGAAACTTTTAAAAGTTAAAAATTAAGCTTAAAAAAATGTTTTAATAACATTTAAGTAAAAAAAACAAAAAAAACACACTTTACCTAGTCCAAATAAAAATTAACCCCTTCCCTGCTAGTCGATCACTGCCTACAGCGATCAAATAGAGATCACAGTATTATACTGTGATCTAATTTTTTTTAACCCCTGAGGATTAACTTTTATTTATTTTTTAACCCTCAGGGGTTCAATTTATTTAATTAATTAAAATATTTTATAACTATATATTTTGCTAGCTGGGGTGGGTGGGAGTTATGGGAAAATGGGGAATTTACTGTTAGTGCTGCATACTGCTAGTTAGGGGTTAACGGTAAAAAAAAAAAGCTTAGAAAAATGTTAAATCTGTAAAAAAGTTTTAAGAAAGTTTAGGAAAGTTTAAAAAAAATTTATAAGCAAAACAAAAGTTTAAAAACTAGCTTTTAAAAGTAAAAAAGTTATAAAAAGTAAAAAAATACATTTTAAAAACGCTCATTACCACTACACCTGGAGCAAACTAGAGAAAAAATTATCCCACGCCAATGTTCAAAATATGCCTTTTGAATTACCCCAGGGTGTATTCTTTAATAAATAGTATGTGTTTGTGGGGAAGTTTCAATAACCAACCGCCTAAACTACTCCAAATTGGAACATGGACACAGCGTAAAACTTCAAAGTTAGAAAAAAACTGAATGGCTGCGTCTCAAATGCGCCCCTTCAACATCCACATATACCTGGCAAAGGTACATACGGGGGTATTGCTGTACTCAGCCGACATAGCTGAGCAACATATGAAGTATTATACAGTCATAGTACACATAAGGTTTGTAAAATATGCTGCGCAAACTCACTTTGTATGTCAAAAAGGCAGAAAAAATGCTTATTACCACTACACTTGGTACAAGCTAGCGGAAAAATGATCCCACACTAAGGTTCAAAATATGCCTTTTGAAATACCCTGGGATGTCTTCTTTAAGAAATGGTATGGTTTTATGGGGAATTTGGATTATATAGCCTGGTAAAATACTCTAAAATGGGACATAGGCACAGCATAAAAATTCAAAGTTTGAAAAAAAATGGAATGGCTGTGTCCCAAATGTGCCCCTCCCATGTCCACACATACCTGGCAAAGGTACATACGGGGGTATTGCTGTACTCAGCCGACATAGCTGAGCAACATATGAAGTATTATACAGTCGTAGCACACATAAGGTTTGCTAAATATACTGTGCAAACTCACTTTGTATGTCAAAAAGGCAGAAAAAATGCTTATTACCACTATATCTGGTACAAGCTAGCCGAAAAATGATCCCACAATAAGGTTCAAACTATACCTTTTGAAACACCCTGGGGTGTCTACTTTAAGAAATGGTAGGCCTTTGTGGGGTAGTTTGAATTTAAAACCTGCGAAGATGCTTGGAAATTGCACATAGGTCCAGCGTCAAAATTCAAAGTTTGGTAAAAACGGATATGGCTTGGTCTCCTATATGGCACTGTAGCTTCACAAAATAGTGACAAAGACATTCATTGGGGTGTATTTTTACTCAAAAGACTTAGCTGAGCATAATTTGGGAGGTTTGAACTTAGTGGCACATATGAAATATACAAAACGCCCAGCAAAAATGCAATCCGTATGTAAAAAATGCACAAAATAATTTTTTTACCACATACTTTGGCATATATTGGTGAAAAAATGGGGCATGTTAAGGCACAATATGCACCTTATAAGATACCCTGGAGTGTCTACTTTTACAAATGGTAGGCCTTTGTGGGGGGTTTTTGAACAGTCAAACTGTTATAATACCCCAAATGGAAGCTAAGGCTCATTAAATCCATCTCTCAAAATTCTACTGTGAATACTGAAAAGGACAGGTATCCTGTATGGCACTGTAACTTCACGAAATAGTGCAAAAGACATACAATGGGGGTGTCATTTTACTCAGCAGATGTAACTGAACACAAAATAAAACTTTGTACAGGAATAGCACACACCAACTTTACAAAATATAAACGAGAATTTCTCTGTTATAAGTTTGTGTGCCAAAAACCAAAAAGAACACAATTTTACTCCAATATTTAGCAGAGGTTGGCGGTGAAATGGCTACGTAGAAAGTGTCAAAACAACCTTAGGTAAATAGCCCGTGATGTCTACGTTATATAAATATATACTTTTGTGTGGCAATTTTGTTTTCTTTTATGGCTATTGAGCTTACAAGACAAACATACCAAATTCTAAAATCGCTCCACATTAAAATTTTATTTTACTCCTTGTGCTTTGTGACCTGTAACTACCAAAAAAAACTTAAAATCCCAGACACATTATATATTCTGTAAATCAGAACAAATAAATAAATTTATTTTTAATTACTTTCCTTAACCTGCACTAATTATGCACACATTATTATTGCAAAAACTGTAAAAAAAAACAATATTTTTCATTTTTATTTGCATTTTTCTGTATTTTTTTTATAATAAGTAAGCATTTATATATATATATGTTATATCAAATTAAAGCCCTTTCTGTCCTTTAAAAAACAGTATATAATATGTGTCGGTGCAATAAATGAGAGAGATGCAAATTGCAGTTGAACGCAAACAGCAAGAAAATGCAAAAATTGCTTGTGTCATTAAGCGTAAGTCAAGCTTCTGAAGCTGTGTCCTTAAGGGGTTAAAGTAGTGGAACACACGGGGGCGGAGCTAAGCAGCACACCGAACTAGACACCATTTCCCTGAGCTCCGAGCACGCCACCAAATAAAGCGACTAAATCCCCAACACCGAGAGTCTAACAGGCGAAAAAAACGTCACCATCATACAGGGGAAGCGGCCCCGAGCAGGCAGATGCCATTCATTTTCCCCACGAGTGGCAAAAACCGACGGCGGGGAAACCGGGCCTACAGCGCGGGAATCCCGTGGGACCTGAGTGCGACATACTGGGGCTTCCTGCATACTGGAGGTAACTTGCATACGGCAAACAGCCAGCAGACCCCCAAAGAACTAGACATGGGACACAAAAAGCCCACTCCACCTACCCCAAAAGACGGGCAGGACATCGGCCAGATGCTGACGGCCTCTGCATGCACGAGAGGTATGGCAGCTACACAGCTAGAGGCTACTCCAACGCCACCCACGGCGGGAATAGTAATACCTGAGGCCCCAACCATAGTAAACGAAACGGCCCCATCCACAAAGCAGGACATTCACAATTTACTCATGTACTTCCAAAACAATGTTCTCTGCAGAGCTGAATATGGTCAAGACAGAGGTGCAGGCAGTTGGTGACAGGGTGTAGGCTACTGAGGAGGACATACAGGATCTCAATCAAGAGATGACTACCCTGAACGAATCTGTCCAGCAACTAAGAGCATTACACACCTCACTATCCACACGAGTGGACTACTTGGATGACAGAGGAAGGCAACGAAACATAAAAATCCGAGGGGTAGCAGACTCACTTCCCCCAGAAGAAATTCCCCACTTCATAAGGCGTTTGGCAGCAACGATCTTACCTGCGAAATCCGCCACACATTTCAAATTTGACGGTGCATACCGCATCACAAAATCCTCACAAGCGCCCACCACGGCGCCTAGAGACATAATCCTGTGCTGTCAAACCGTGGCAGACAAACAAAGGCTCCTCACGGCACTTAAAGGGAAAACCCCGCTCCACTTTGAAACACACAACATTACCCTCTATCAAGACCTCAGCAGGCCCACCCTATTATGGAGAAAATCGATGAAACCCATAACCACAGCTCTACAAACTGCAGGACTGGCCTACCGCTGGACTTACCCAAGATCCCTCACAGTCTTTCGAGAAGGAAAGGCCCTGCGAGCAACAACCCCCACAGAAGGTCCGGCCTTCCTTCAGTCCCTGGGCTTAACTGAAGCAACCCCATCAACGAGCTCCAATCACCAATGGGATGTAACGGCAATCACTCCCTTTGTGCCAGGGAACGAAAGGAACTTACCAACCTAAAGTCTGGAAAAGAACCAACTGTGTTTTTTGTTTTAGTTTCATCTCTTGCTTTTATGCTTTTACGCTTTACTTACCTTAGACCATGTTACCTACATGGGCTTAACCATGCCTAGACACCACTGATATCCATACTACCGCCACATGGCGATCCACCAAGTGCTGCTACAGCGACACAAACACACCCCAATAGAGAGCTTTTAATGCCCCAAAACATATATGGGGTTTAAAGCTCACAAACCCCCCCCCCACATAGCCTCATGGGTTAGAGGCCCCACAACAACCGGGAGACACACTAACGCCACAGACACAGTCACAAGTTTCTTAGCTTCCACAAAGGAACAGGCAGACACTTCGACTACCCACCACCAGGCTCCCGAGCACCACTCATCTACCGATAGGTATCATTTACACAAAAAATAGGTGAACACACTAGACATCATTGTTTGCAAATACTGTGCATGCTTATTTACTGTGATACAATGAAACTGCTGTATTGTCATATATCACCTGCCAAAATAAAAAAAAATAAAAAAAAAAGTAGTGGAACACACATGGTTTGTGATGTTTCCCATGAAAAACACAGCTGAAGTCTCAGCACACCTAGTTTTGTAAAGGTTTGTCTTTAAAACTGTAATTCAGTCATTGCAATATATATAAATAACAGAGGGCTTACAACAGCTCCAGAAACTAGTTAAAATAGTAAATGCATTTTTGGAGGTGGGGTGGGTTTGGAGGGGAGGTGAAATTTTACAAATCAATTGGGAAAAAAAAATATATGACATGTTCTTTTGATGCAGATAGTTCTAAACTGTATTAAAAATATACACTCTAGTGTGATTCAGTTCACTAAATTATTTTCTGTTCTATAACATTTATTTGCCTTAATTATATTTACAATAAATTGGAAGCTTTTCCTTAAATAAACCGCTCATCCAAGGATAGATTAAGAGCCCAGTGGGCCTGGTGCTGACAATTATGATGGGCCTAATTACAGAATCTTATCGACCAAAAACACTAAAACAATCATACCTCCCAAGCGTCATGTATCTGATGGAGTTGATGTTGGAGGAAAACATGGATGCAGCTATAAGAAAACACATACTCTGTGCTAATCTCTCTCTAATTTATGCTTTCATCTTTCAAGTAACTCCATACCCCCTAACAGCAGTGTCCAGTGAAGCAGGAAGTCAATGGGCGGGGTAAAAGGGTGGGCCACTGACGCGAATCACGTGACCAGAACTGCCAAAAAGGGGCGAACATGCCCAAAAAGGGGACATGTCTGTCCAAAGAATTTGAAGGCCAGCCTGGCATCAGTGTCCCTATGTATCACAGTGTCAGTGTCCCCATGTCTCAGTGTCTCCCATGTCACTAGGATACTAGGGGACACACAGAGACATGGGGGCACAGAGACATGGGGGCACAGAGACATGGGGGCACAGACATACTTGGGGGCACAGAGATACTTGGGGGCACAGAGATACTTGGGAGCACTTCTGGATACAGACATGGGGACACAGACATTTGGGGACACTGGGAGAAATGAGGTCACAGACACTAGGGACACTGAGAGACATGGGAACACAGACACTGGGAGACTAGGGGACACTGGGAGACATGGGGACACTGGGAGACTAGGGTCACTGGCTGGGAGGCATGGGGACACTGATACACTTGGGGACACTGGGAGACGTGGGGGCACTTGTGGACATAGACATGGGGACACTGGGAGACATGGGGACACTGGGAGACATGGGGACACAGACATTTGGGGACACTGGGAGAAATTGGAACACTGACAGACATGGGGACAGAGACATTGGGACACTAAAGGACACTGGGAGACTAGGGGACACTGAGACACTAGGGACACTGGCTGGGAGACACGGGGACACTGGGAGACATGGAGACACTGTGTCCCTAGTGTATCTGTGTCCCAATGTGTCTCACTATGTCTCACAGCATCCCCATGTGTCTCAGCGTCCCCATGTCTCACAGTGTCCCCAAGTGTCTCAGTGTCCCTATGTTTTCCAGTGTCCCCAAGTGTCTGTGTCCTCGCGTCTGTGTCCCCTAGTGTCTTAGTGACCCCATGTCTCCCTGCTGCCTTTCCCTCCATCCTTCACTTACCTGAGCTGTAGTCTGTCTCTGCAGGCTGGGAGCTTCTGTCTGGACTCTTTATGCTGTGTAGCTGCTCCCCCGTGGATCAGTGATTAGAGCTGTAACTTCCTATCCCTGCCTCTCTCCATACACAGTGACCCCTACTGGCCGGTGCGAGTATTGCAGAGTAATCTCCGTTGATACTGAGAAAAATATTTGCATTTGTATTGCCGGTATTACTGCAAAACCATCACGGCCAGGCAGCCTCAAATACCGGCTATGTTAATCCGACCCTGCGCTCATCATAGATCGCTGAGTCATCTCTCATCTTTCAACAGTAAAAAACAAAACAAAAAAAAAACACATTGAATAGATTGGCACTGTTCAAAAATAATGAATGCAAATAGAATGCTGGAGTAAAAAAATGATCAATTCAAATAAAAAAAAATAAAAAATACTAAAAAACAAAACAAAAACAAATTACAGGCATTTTATCTCCAGATCTTCTGTGCACGTCAAATTCAATAATACATCAAATCACTCATATCATCAAACAAGTCTAACAGAAAGCCAGTTATTGGTCAGTGAGTGTTAATATTTAGACTGCCAAAGCAGGAAAGCACTGCTCTTTCATATGGGAAGGATGTTTGGCATTTGCACTCAGAACGTTTAAGGGTTAATGCTTTTTGTTCCTGCAGTCTCTTTGTGCTGCCATTAAATTGAGGGTAATTTTCTTCAGCTTGGAAAAAGTAACCTGCTCTGAGATTGGACTGCTGCTGATCCGCCATAAACCTACAGCTCTGTACATGGTGCAGAAAAAAAAAGCATCCATCTGAATATTGTTTTAATATAAGACAGCCTAGATTTAAAGTCAAAACCTGCCGGCTCCATAGAGGTCAACTAATAAAAGATTCACCTGATTGGCCATTATATTCTTTCTTTAAACATGTTATGATCTAGGATACAATTATCATTAGACTTCAATAATAAAAATAATGTGTCCACTGGGCAAAGGGCTGGAAATAGGGCATTAACAAATTGATTAGAGTTTCTTTTTTATTAGGCTATCAAAACAAGGCAGATTTTGATAAATGAACTGCAGATAATTTTATGAAAATATATGAAAATATTCCAGACTTGCATAGCAGGCAATTCTGATACGCAGAAAGTAAATAGTCCTTATTTTAAATTCACTCTTTTACTCCTGTCTGTTGGAGGTTCACTTTACTCAGAGGCCAACTTTATCTATAAATAGGAGGCAGATCAGGCAGAGACCTTTGATGAGAATGAATAGGATGGCATTTTTAAAAATACCCTTGAAATTAAAGCTGGTTCACTAGTATATTAAAGGTCCTTTAATGCATTGTCATGCTGCGATCTCCTTCTCAAAGTACTTCACCATATGTTCATAAACCATGTTACCTACCTGCTTCATATAGGTTACAGAGAAAGAGGAACGTACCTCCTTATGTGATGAAGTTGATCTAGTGTATGCCCTCTAGGGCAGTTAATTATTCTTAACCGAATCCGAACACTGCGCTAGACCCATGGATGGCATTACTTAATCAGGAATATCAGATTGACTTGGCAAGACGACAAACTTGTTTAGGGTTTGTGTAGCAATGTGCTTATACCTTGCAAAGCATTAAAAATATCAGCTGCTCCCACCAACCACAATAAGATGCAAAGATGTGGCACAAGCCACATATTGGAACGCAGCCACAATTACCAGATTTTACTAATTTCATGATGTAAGGTCATGATTTTATTAAGGACACGGAGGCGAGTATTATGCTTTATCTCTGTTCTCTATTCCTCAGCAGCAAAGAAAGGATACTGTAATATTCTTAGAAAAATTCAAACATGCAACCTCAAAGGGTTAATAACAACATGACATCCAATAAGAATGCTCCTTGAACCATAAGTCCTCACGTGACCCTAAGGCACTCCTCTTTCTTGATGATGCAGACTAACATCTCAATCTCACAAACAAATGGTCAAACTTGAAGAAACAGCAACTTCATAGGTGGATGACACCAGTATTCCATGGAAGACGTGATCCTCCGTTGGAACATGAAAGTAAAGAATGTAAACTCGGGCCAAATCCAGTTAGGAAGCTGAAAGGAGAAACAACTGGTAAAATGTGTTTCAGGATATTAAAATACATCTATAGGGGGTGGAGCCTGACTGCTGAAGTGGAAGGTCGCATGCGGCACAAGCTCCGGGCCTGCGACCAACAAACCGTCTAACTAACGAGACAGACACCGCAACATTTTGCTTCATCTCCCCACTGGGAACCTGTGAGCATACCAGGGACAAGATGCCTGTGGCTGTTCCACCGGTGGTCAGTGGATCCATGCCGAGGCAGCCACGCGGCCTGTGGAAGGCCAAGGCGGGGAGGGATGGCCGCTCTCCTTGCACTCGGGTCGACTATGGAGCCCACAATCACTCCCACCCTCCCCCCTATCGACCGGCACGGGTCGTCCCGGTCCCCCCCAGGGTACAGACATGCCCATCCAGCATCCACCGGAGGGGCCTTGCAAAGTCAGAGTCACAAGCGGAGGGAGTTAAGATGGCCACCGAATTGGGACCCAGCTCACTCCAAACTCCCATGAAGCTGGCCACCCAGAAGGACGGCATCACACAAGCCTTCGACAAATTCTGGGCAAAATATATGGAAATAACTCTACAAGATGGCACAAAATGTCCCACGGCAAAACCGACTCACAGCAACTGGCAGACCGACGCAAACCCAAGCTCGAATACAGCCAAGCAAACCATAAAACAGCAGGAGAGTAAGCAGGGGCAACGCATCAGGTGGAGAGCCTCCCAGGACCAGACCCGGTCACGCAGGCCATGTCTGCCTCAAGCTGCCTACAGCCACACTCCCCTAGATATCCTGCGGTTGAACCACCACACAACCCGCGGCATAACACAATGGAACCACCGGGCCGGTCGCCATCGACTGCCCAAACGCCCGACCGGAGAACTAGGAGAGACACCGCAAGGAAAGAGGCGAGAGACGCAACCAATACCATGTCGGAACACTTTGAAAGCGCCAACACAACAGGACCACTGGCGGGCTGCAAAGCAAATTTGGAGAGCGGCTTCTGATACAGCACGCAGCAGACATGCCTGATGCAGGGACACTGCGACAACAGGGAAAGCACCCGAAGGAACACTCACAGCCCAGCGGCACCCAGACCAAACCATGCAAGACAACAGATGACTTGCAGCGGGTCTCCCACAGCACCGGAGGCAGCCCCCACACGCTACAGGGCTGGGGCTGCACATGAGGGCTTGTTGGACTTACACAACCGGCACCAGAGACCCAACAGAAGAGGTATGGGGTAAGGAATGGCCTGCAGAGAGACTTGTCCACTTGTGCTGGGAGACAGCTCCTGCGGACAAAGGCCCACATCATAAAGGACTGATAATCTCACTACCTATTCAACACATAGGGATAGACTTACTCGAGAACATAGGATTTACTCAGGACAACATTATATATACTGTAACACTAGTTTAGTCCAGCCATATTAGACGTATACTGTACAGGTTCACCATGTGTCAAGTTTCTTAGTTATTGTTTAATGTTTAGCCTAGATTTAGATTTTTACTTTAATTTATCACCAATTGCCTGATAGTCTACTTCTTTATTTTAATTGCCTCCTGCGCGCATTATCTACCTACCATAAACACAGTTGGCTTGACCCCAGGGGTCAATACAGTAATCTTGTTTACCTCGCATGTAATCAACTAACTAATACTTAAACAAGGCCAACTGCGCAATACTTAACATGTAACCAAACAGTCACGACACAAGTAATAGCAGTTGTGCCCTATCCAGCTTGTTACTCAATCTAGTGGCTACATGCTGCTTATTTATCCTTTTGATACATTGTTGCATACAAGCTGTCAGCAACTGTTATAAACAAGCTGGTAACGATTATCAATATTAGTCATGTATCAGAATCTTTACCAACATTTAAATGGTCACTAAATATGATATGATCAATATTTTTTCACAATAGTAGATGATCCTATTTCGATTTTAATATTGTTAACACTGTATATACACGGAGTACTTCCCAAAGGTAATTTTCTTTTTTACACTATCTTTAGTTTGGGATTTTCGTGGTGTTTTTTTCTTTTTACCTAAGAGGGACCAATAAAGTTTATTTTTAGTTCTATTTATGCTCCATGACTATCTTTTTATGGTTTTACATTAGCAGAGCAGTCATATTTAGGGTATAGAGACTGCAATTGGGAGCACTTTTTAGTTAACCCATTCCAGCCTCTTTATCTGTTATCATGTAGGGTTATGCCCTCAATACCCTTCAACCATCACATCCTCGATGAGTGATTGTTCTGATAACTCACCGCGGCTGTATAGCTTTTATGTTACTCAATCTTAAAGGACCACTATAGTGCCAGGAAAACACACTTTTCCTGGCACTATAATGCCCTGAGGGTGCCCCCACCATCAGGGACCCCCTCCCAAGGGGTTAAAACTTACCTTTTTCTAGCACTGGGCGGGGAGCTCTCCTCTTCCGAACCTCCTCCTCTCCGCCCATTCGGCTGAATGCGCACGCGCGGCAAGAGCTGCGCGCACATTCAGCCGGTCGCATAGGAAAGCATTCACAATGCTTTCCTATGGACGCTTGCGTGCTCTCACTTTGATTTTCACAGTGAGAATCACGCAAGCGCCTCTAGCGGCTGTCAATGAGACAGCCGCTAGAGGCTTTGGAGGAAGGCTTAACCCATTCATAAACATAGCGGTTTCTCTGAAACTGCTATGTTTATAAAAAAAAAATGGGTTAACCCTAGCTGGACCTGGCACCCAGACCACTTCATTAAGCTGAAGTGGTCTGGGTGCCTAGAGTGGTCCTTTAACTACTACCTAAGCAATCTTATTACTAGCAATGTTTTGTCTATTTTATCTGACCTACCTAAGTCACGTCTACGCTCCACAAAAGTTAATTTGTGAATAATCTTGATCAAATGCATACTAAATATAAAAAATGTGCATGGTCTAACATACTCATGATTGTTATAAATGTTTTGAAAAAGCATGTGGATTGCTGTCGGGGTACCCCGTGCGTGTTGTTCTCTCATATGCACTAGAAAAATAAAGAATTTAAATAAAAATAAATAAATACATCTATAATGCTTTTTTAAACACAATAACATATCCAATATACACAGAATAGTATCATAATAGAACCTTCAATTAGGTAACTATACAGCGACATCATAACAGACCTAAACGCTTGAGAAAACCCATATAAGGGAGGGCGCAACTTACCTGTATCGGGTAGGATAATACTCGCCTCCATGTCCTTAATAAAATCTTGACTTTACGTCAAGAAATTAGTCAAATCTGGTAATTTTATTAAAGGACACAGAGCCTCATATTATGCTAGTTCAAAGCTGTGAAATTACCATGCCAGAAAAATGAGAAACTGGATGAAAATAAAATTCTCAAAGAGTAGATTCATGGGACCAGTCAGCAGCTCGGAGAAGGTCTTCTAATCTACACTCCCGAGAGAAAGCTTTAGACGCCATGGCTCCTCTAACAGAGTTTGCCCTAAATGCTGAAGTGTCGATGCCAACAAATTTCTTAATCCATTTAACCCAACAAGACAGTGTAACTGCTGAGACAAGGTTATGTGGGCCTTGGAGTGCTAGAAATAAGTCTGGATGTGTTCGATCACGAAGGGAGGAAGTCCTAGATTCGTATTCCTTGAGACAGGTCACTGGGTATAAGTTAATATGCTGAGGAAAAGCTGGGTAGAAGACAAAGGAGATTGACGTTTTGATACCTCTTGAGATATCGAACGAAACACCCTCAGGAGTAAACTAACATGCAGAAAGTGTACGCACATCTGATACATGTTTACAGGAGATCAGGCAAAACAGCATCACCAGCTTTGCCGTGAGTTGTTTTAGTGAAAGGTCTTCATTCCTTGGCCAGTTTGTGAAGAATGAGAGGACAAGGTCCACATCCCATAATGAAGAGTATTTAGATTGAGGTGGGTGTGCAAAATCTGATGCTGCAAAGAAGACGGCACAACAAGAGATGTTTTCCTGCAGGGTAGCCTTCCGAGCCATTGTGGCCCGCAGAAATAGCCGATTGGTATAAATTTATCGTATGATAGGCTAGTCCATGGTCAAACAGTGAAGTGACGAACCTCAACACATGACTCACAGGTGCCGATATGGGATCCACGTGTTGTACCATGCACCAAATCTATGAATTCCAGGCATGCAGGTAGGACTTTAGTGTACCTGGAGCCCAAGCTCCTGCCAGGAGGTCCAGAGTTGACTGTGGAACATTTGGGATGAAGCAGAGTCCCCAGAGAGGAGCCATGCCAGTAACCTGAGGTGCCCTTGTAATAGAAGGGAGTTTGAGTTCCCGTTGGGATCCAGCAAGAGGTCTGGTGAAGTAGGGAGTAACCTCGGATAGTCTATGGACATTTCCATGAGTGTAGGGAACCATGGTTGAGCTGGCCAGAATGGAGATATGAGGATCAAGGAGGTACGGCAACATCTGAGATGTAGCAGTGTCTGAGCTATCAGGTAGAAGGGAGAAAAAGCGTGTGTTGACAAGTGACGAGAGTTCGGCCACAGCTGAAGGAAAGCATCTGACGCCAGGCCTCTGGGTCTGGTCTCCAACTGAAGAACTTTGGTAGTTGGGAGTTCAACCGTGATGCAAAAAGGTCGATATTCAAAGGGTCCTAGAGTGACTGCGGGTGGAGGAAAAAGGCATGATTCAGCTGCCAATCGCTGGCATCCCGTAGGTATCCAATCTGCTGCTATGTTGGACATCCCGGGAATGTATTCTGCTTGAACTGAGATATTGTGATCCAGGCAGAATTGCCAGAATTCCTTGGCAAGTTCTGCCAAAACCGTGGACCTCGTGCCTCTGAGATGGTTTATGTAGCGAACTGCCTAAACGTTGTCCATGCGTAAAAGGACGGTGCAGTTGGTTGACACCCCTAATAGACTTCCGAAGTGCAAATGAGCCTGCCAGTAGTTCGAGGCAATTGATGTGTAACCCCTGTTCGTTTAGGGACCATTTCCCTCCGGTGAAAATAGGACCGAAGTGCGCGCCCCAACCGAGCATGCTTGCATCCGACTTCACTACGAGATCTGGGGCAGTCCCAGAGATTGCTTGTCCATTCCATGCCTCTATGTGCTGTAGCCACGAATTGAGTTCTTCTTTGGCTGAGCAGTCGAGAGGAACAGAGTCTGAGTAAGAGTGCCCCAAACAAAGGTGGTTTGCTTTTAAGCGTTGAAGAGCTTTGTAATGAAAAGGACATGGAAAAACGGCCTGGGTTGAGGCTGAGAGAAGGCCGATGATCCTGGCTAGTTGCCTCACTGTAAGAACAGGATGGGCCAGTGTTCGACAGATTTCCTTCTTTATGGCTTTGACCTTGGGAGAATACCTTTTTCATATTGGCTTGCGCCTTATCGAGTGCAGTAAATGTCCCCACATACGTGTCCAGTTCCTTCACAAAATTGTCCCCAAAAAGGAGGCCTTTTGCCTGTGGCCCAGGCTCAGATGTAGCCAAATTCACCAATTTTAGTTCGATCTTAATAAAGATTGCCTTACACCTCTCAGTGGCCAAAGCCATATTGACATTGCCAATCAAACAGACGGATTGCTGAATCCAACCCCTGGTGGCCAGCAAATCTGCAGGAGTACCATCTGCCAGGGCTGTTTCGACCATGTTGAATATTTTAATACTGGATCCTAGGATGTCCAGTACTTTGTCTAAGCAATTACGTAAAGAAAAATCTAGGCCTTTCTATTGGGCAATTTTTGGGTCTATGTCGGGGGTGACTCATTCCAAACCAGGAATCATGGGATGCGGGCATTCAGTCCGAAGTTTATTCCTTGCCACTTTATCAAGTGGCTTCCTGATACATGCGGCGATATACTTCGCCACGTGATCCAAAGGGTAGGGATAATCCGAAGATCTCGGATGTTGCAGTGCATCCGGATCAAAAAGTGGTTTACCCTGAGGGTCGAGGATGGTGGAATCCTCCCCACCGACTTTAAGGTCAGTCCCAGACATGGATAAAGAACCGTGATCAGGAAAAAATGTTCCTGAATTGTAAGAGTCCTCGTCA